CCCCCCCCCACCGGGCCCAGGACAGGAATTCAAGAAGTTACAAAACAGTAGAACACAATAACTGTCCTAACCAGTTGTTGGTGATACAGCCATGTCATGGTCTTCCACTGAATGTCCATAAACATCATCAGACATGTCTGAAATTCAAAAAAAAAATTATCAACTGATAAAGATCATTTTTATAGTACTTTTCCAGTCATCACCTACTATTCCTTCACATTGATTGTAATGGATAAACAAATGTCTGCAAATAATTCAGTTTGCTTCTAATTTCACTTAACTCCTTTTCATGCCTTTTGCAAACAGGTTTGCTAAATCATACACCTACTTGCCTATTCTTGTACTTACATGCTAATTATATCCCATAAACAGATGTTGTACTGGAAATTTAAAAATCCAAGTAATAGTCACAAATTTCACTCTCTACAATCATCTTAGCAACCTCTTGGGAAATACTTCATCAAGTTCAAAAGGTCATGTCTGAGAGGTTTCAATCCAGTTTGTTAGAGTATCATTGAAAGGTATGTAATGCACTTTGTTTCCACATGCATGGACACACTCTCCTCTCCCTCCATCCTCCTTATAGTCCTTCCCTCTTTCCACTTTACCTACCAAAACTGTTGAGAAAATCTAAAGCACATACATACATGTATGTATGTATATTTTTGCTTATTTTGTTCGACAGGGTAATTTACCAACGAAGGTATGAACTATGTATCTGATATAGTGGAGTAATTCCAAATCAACTGTTCGCAAACTCTAACTAGATTATTCCAAGCAGCACCACGTGATAAGTTTTCAAGCTTAGATCGTCATGTTAACCTTTCATAGAAAGCTTAAAACAAAAGAAAATAAACAAAATAAGACTCGACAAGGCCACCCGGTTGAGGCCGCGTAGAACTCGCGTAAAACTTTAGACCATTACTTTTGATTGCCCTGTTCATACATGCACCAGTTGCTTTAAATATCGCAAACAACATCAATGAAATGTTTTGTATAAAATATGTGGAAGCTTTAGTTCAAATCTGAAATAGCTTATCTTCTCATAAAAGTCTAAATATTCATGAATATTGTAATATTAAGGAACGTTCACTGTACCGTCTTCATAAGCATAATTCCTGTAATTTCTATGCCTTGCCATTTTACCGATCTCTTCTAGTGAATTAAATATCGGTGGTCTTTTAAGTGATAAAGTTGTGGAGAGCCGAAAGGCCTTCCTGAAATCCAGGAAGCCATGTTGGATTTGCAAAAGTGAACCTCGATTTCGGTCCGATTTGAACTGAACCAAGAGGAACCCAGACCCTCTCTGCAGATGACGAATTCCAGATGGCATTTTTTCCCAAATTTTCGAAAATGAGGACAATCTAGAGATATAAACCGAAATTTTTGAAACTCTTTTGCAGGAAATTTTCCGTTCCACTAGATTTCGATGCGTGAATTTTCATAAGTTTGGATTGAAAGGTTCCTATTCCGGAAATTCCACAATCAACAGTTTTCCTCAAGTTTCATGAAATGACACTACGGCAATATAATTGAGCCTGGCTGAGCACTGTCGAGTCAGTGATATTAAGGCTAACTTGAACGCTATTTAGGCTAACCGTAGCGCCATTTCATCATTAAACACGCCCAGTTTTGATCGAATGGAAGGCGCTCCTAAAGGCGCCCCTAGTTTTTTGACTGCGTGCTTTCTAATAAAGACGAAAGCTTTGGTATCTCGGAGATAGGACACCCAAAGGTTTTAGAGAACATAAGAAACGTGACAATTTATTGTTTGCAAAGAATGGAAATTTTTTTTTCTTACTTTTAAGGTATTCAGGGAACTGTTTCGATACATTGAGGAACATTTACTCTCCACGGATTGTAAACCATTTAACACCATTTGTTAACGTTTAGCTGCACATGGTCATGAAAATGGGGGAATTTTTGAGATAGACAAGAAAAGGTAGAGGAATCAAGATATCAGTTACCAATGGCGGTTCATCTTGTTGGAAAGCACATAGTTTAGCTAACTAGAGTGACAACAGGTTGGTATTCGGTGACAGTGGGACTGTTGAGTCCCAGTGATAATTAAGCATTGGCAGGAGCCAATTGGGTTTGTCAAGGGTTCCCAGATGGTAGCAAACCCCAATTTTTTCAACATGCATACATACTCTATTTGATAAATACCAGTAGGTGATTACAAGAATGGCAGGCGAAAGATGATAATTTGATTAAAGGTTGAGCAGAACGCTTGAAGAGTCGAGAAGGGCAGTGCTTAACACCATACGCTCATACTTTATTAGTTCCAGTCCACCCCCCCTCCCCCCCGCCAAGCACCGCTGCCAAAAAGAATATTGCAAGCTTACTAGAGAACAAGTCTGTGAGATGAGAAACTAGAGTTATTTCGGTATGGACAGAGTGTTCTGCAAAAAAGTGTCCGTAATGTGAGGACCAAACTCTCCATATTGACTTATACACAGTGGGACCTCTAGATATTCAACCAATTGATTTATAGATCGTTTTCACGTGACGTCATCACTTTCGAAAATCCAAAACTAAAGAGCCACCAAAGTTTTTATCGTCATCAGGCATAAGAGGCGGTAAATTTATATCTGTTTACAATTTTACAGCTCAATAGCGTGCTTCGTTTGGAATCCAGAGCATTTTGAATTTCAGGGTTATGGAGGTGCGTGACACAAGGCTACGATYGAGTTTGTCGAAAAATATATACTTATCTCATGATTTTGAGCCTTTTTAGAAGTTAGAGCATTATGAAAAGTGCTTATGTAAATGCTTGTTTGGTCAGTACTGATAATCAGTCGCCTAGATAGCCAAAATAAGTTCCAGATGTTTACACTATTTTCCGGCCGCCATATTGGTGTACCACGGAGGTACACCAACATGGCGTTTTCATACTGGCTCTGCAAATATCTGCGAAACATTTCGACGAATATCTGAAGTTTGGGGAAACGCACAGGCCTAAAACTTGCAGAAGTGTCTTATTTAGTTATCTTCTATAACATCGTAAGTTCATAGCTTTTTCCACTGGATGGTTTATATTTCATTTTTTTTATTGCGTGACAGTGAAAACGATCTATTGAACTTAGAAACTACGTTACAGCAAAGGCTACATAAAGGACAACAAGAAATTGTACAAAACAGTTCAGTTGGGGGTGACTCAGTGGGCTCAGTTAACAATAACCTTTTTTCAGGAGAGTGTTGGAGCTGGTATGAAGACCCGAACCTGAAAGCTTATAAAACATTTACTCAAGATCCCTTTAATCCAATACGTTTTGTAGAGGACTAGTGATCACTAGTGTATTGAGATGAACTATAAAATGCGTTGGAATACAATGTTTATCACGGCTATTTGTGTTATATTCTTTAAGATAAGGTTTCTTCTCGATGGCGTATGACGGGACGACACTGTTTATCACCGCTGTTTATGTTATGTTCTTAATCAAGCTACAATAGAGATTCCAGAAGTTGTCGAAGACGAAGACTCAGAGTCGTAGCAGTCATCCAGAAGAAGCTTTAGAACGTGTTTTGGGACTGGATGACTATGTATATTATAAGTAGAAACGAAAATTGCTTCGAATCATGTGAACATGTAAAATAATTTCTAGGAACAAGGGAACCTGACGAAAATGAAAATCGGGGAAAAGTTGAGTTTATTGTTTAGCTGCACAAGAGAAACACATTCCGATATCTTATAGACTTTATAATACCAAAAATGAATACGAAGAGCATAACTTTTCGTGTTTCCGTTTAATTTGGCAGAGTTGTGTTATGTAGACAGAGGGAAAACAACTCCCAGTATTGGACCGGGCACTGTCCCGAAAGCTCCCGCTCAACGACTCTGGAAAATTTTCTGGTACGTAGTTTTCTGACTAACTTCTCTAAAAAAAGAGCTGCTTTCAAATAAGATTCCTTTTCTTTTTCTTCCAACTCTCTTTCCATTCTGTTTTGTTTAACATCAGACGTGAGAATACTCCTTGTCTGTTACTAATCAGAATTGCGTGCTTGAAGTTTGCGATGTTTTTCCAGTCCGTGATCGCGGCATATTTTCTTGTAAATCTCTTACTAACCAAGCCCTGGTATAATTATGGACTTTGATCCGTTCTGTCAAGACCTCGGACCGCTATTTAGGCTTTTGTACATTATGCTTTTATTTCCTCACCTTAATGCTCCATTTTTTCCACTAAAATGCTCGGGTTCCCCCCACCCCCACCCCCCCTCCACAAAAAAAGTCACTGAAATGCTCGGTTAATGCTCATACATAGGGTTTTTTAAATTTTAATAATTTTAACTTTTCAACACGATTAACAGTTCAGAGTGCTTAACAAAAACGTATACTGAGTATAACAAGTTAACAACAACGACTATGGATGGCTAAGGATGGAGAAGATTAACACGAATTACAAACGACGAATTTGAAAAACTTTTCAATATGCGCAAACCGTGACTGAGCCCCTTTAAGACACCAAAAGATAATTCTCTAAATGATCTGTTATTCTTTTAATCCTTTGTCCCCTTTCAATAATACTTAAGTGAAGAGGCGAAGTTTAGTCTTCATTTTCTCGTAAAAAATAATTTTTATTTCTAATTTTTATTTCTAATTTTGATTGTGGAAAAAAATGTCAATTTTCCGAGAAAATGCCACCAAAATGCTCGAATAATGCTTGATGCTTTTGCCTCACTAAAATGCTCGAAAAAATGCTAGCATAATGTACAAAAGCCTACCGATATTCTCCCGAGAAAAGGTTTCTGATCTGTACTTCCACGGAATGACCCCAGATCGGAACCGAAGTGATCGTGATGATCCCCATTTTATTTCATCCCAATAAATTTTGCAATTGGACTGGCATGTAGGGGCCTTAAAATAACTGCAGGATACTGAAAATAGCCTCCTTGGTCAACAACCCATATATAGCATAAAACCAATTAAAAAGCTGACCGGACGGCTGAAAAGGGTACCTTTAATGCCCAATGTTTCGGTTAAACAGGACTAACCTTCTTCAGGGGCTACACTGAAGCTAAGTAGATATGGATAAAACGGTTACAAAATTTTGAATGATACTTAAGGAAATATTTGACATGAGTGGTTGACAAAAATAGAGAAAAATGAAACGTGTACTAACCTTTCTTAAGAGTTATGAACTTTTCCTGGACTTATCGTTGCAAAATCTGTCCATGCGCTCCCATAGATATCTGCCCGGGCCCTTGGGGAGCTCCCCTGGGGGTTTTTGCTACGCATCCGACAGCGTAGACTGCTTCCGGTTTACAGTCAAACCTGTATATAACGGTCACCCTTGGGAAATAGCCAGGTGACCGTTATATACAGGGTGACCGCTGTACACAGGTTTCCTTTAAACTCCACTGGAAGTCAATAAATAGCATTTTTATGTGCAAATAATCACTCAATTTACGTTTTAATGACAATAATGAGTAACAGCAACGCAACAAACACGATAAAAAAGGCCCATAAAATGTCCGTGGTGTACTTTAAGGGAGGTGCAGTATACTTTGATTTAAGTCTCCAGTGAGTGGCTGCATCGGACTGAAGCTGATAGAAGAGAAATTTTTTGATGCCGAGTACTGTCTATAAAACAGTAGCCTAATACAGTGTAAAGCCGCCGCTGTCAACTTGATAAGTATCGCAGTGCAGTGTTATAATCTGGGAACTATGACGAAAGTGAAAACAGTGTGGTACGGTTGTTACGATTACAGTAGCTAACTATTGTTTGAAAGCGACGGCAGCAGGCATGTGTTGGACGTAGGCGATGAAATGTATTAGCAGTTGTGTTTAGTACTAATATTTGTATTTTTGTGAGACCCCTGCCTTGGTAGCTGCTATTTAACGAGCGGATGAATAAAGCTTGTCATCATTCGTTAATTGTACCCAATTTCGTGATCGTTATATACTGCAGGTAAAAGATAATAAAATTGTGGATTGAGGAAGTCTAAAGGGTGACCGCGTCCGTTATATACAGGTGACCGCTATATACAGGGCCGTTATATACAGGTTTGACTGTAGTATTTCGGCGGCAAACAGTGATTGTTTCACGCCATTCTTGTGTAACCACGCAATGACACTATCTGCAATAGCTTTTGGCGTTCTTGTCGTGACGCATTGATCTTCTAAAAATTTATGGGGAAATTACTAAGTACTGATTCGTTCCGTTAGACCCACTCTATGTAAAAATTTGAAATAGTACTTACCTCCATTATCTGTCAAAAACGCTAAAGATTCAGCAGAGGCGGCAATCGGGGATTCCTGCGTTCGGGTTGGGGTTCGCGTGGTTTATCAGAAACTGTACATTCTCTAATACTGAGACTTAAGAAAACTCATAGCAAATTTTATTGATAACCGTTTAATTAAGGAAGTTGTTGGTGGTGGCTTTTTTTGCGAGCTTGTTTATATCTTTTGTTGGTTTTGTTTCGATAAATTGTAAGATAAACTCGAATCGATAATTTCGATATTTATCGATAAAATCGATAGCGCTAAGCGAAAAATCGATAATTATCGATTACTCACAACGAAACCTGTTATAGATGTTTATCGATTTTCGATATCACTGACTAAGTTTTATCGATTTTATCGAATGCTATCGATTATCGATTTTATCGAGTGACTACCCCGGGCATATATAGTTTGATTAGGGAACGCTCGTAGTCCGTCACTGGTAAGGCATTCACCTCGTTCGAGGACTAACCGGTCATGGTGTTGTATTCCTGTGCACGACTTTTTACTTTCACAGAGATGGGTCTTTATTAAGGTCAATGAGGGGAAGTAAGACGAACGTTTCACTGCCTATGGGCCAGGGCTAAGCTATTCTCCCATCTATAAAGGTGTCATGTCCAAAATAAATAACGTCATTTCGTGCCATAAATATGCAGCCAAACGTTCCCACTGACTGTACCACGCGTAAGGAGGGGGGGGGGGGGGGATAGTCAGTAAATCGTTGGATAGGGGTGTGCCGCTGGGACAATGAAATCTCTACCCTATACTACACCCTAACCCAACCGTATCCTAAACTACGCACCAACCCCCTACTTTATCTCAGACTAGCTATTTTCAATGCAGAACCTTTATCACTATCTTTATTACTATCGTAATCCAACTTACGCTAACTGAGCCAATATCTTACAAAGTCACAGCTGTTGCAAGAGCAAAAACAACTTTCTTAATAACTTGTACGTGTACATTTACAACCAAAACTGTTTTTCCGACTTTTAACAGAACTTTACAAAGTCGCCAATTTGCCAGGATTTGTAATTCTGTTTTATATGTGAAGTTCTCAGTTACAAGTTTCAATTTCTATTATAGAACCCTGGGTAAAGAACTCTACCCTAGACTAAATCATTTATACACTGGCCACATTCGCGAAAAATTGTACTCTATCCTAAACTTAACTGCCTGAAAACCATACCCTTCACAACGGCAGAAACACAGAGAGTCTGTATATGGGATTGCCCCCTCCCCCCGGATAAGCTGTTTGCACGTTAAAGGCATCATGAGACAATTCTACAAAAAAAGATATATATACGGGACTCAGGATAACTCTGTTTTTAAATTACGCACCGCCCCAAACGTAATCACCACCTCCAATAATTGTGTCCCCCAACAGAGGAAGCTACGCACATATTTCTTCATACTACCCAAAGGTATGCAATAAAATGCTTGCAAATGTTTCTTCGCAAGTCTGAATTAAAATAACATTACTTTCAGCTTCAATAAGAGCCACATCATCTCATTAAAATTCTGGCTTACTTTTCAGTTAAACCAAATCATGGAAAGAACATGACAACAGTAAGAAGAAGACTGAAAATATATTTATTGTCGTGCCACTGACGCCTTTTAAGGTGACACATAATGTTCTTGGAATGCTTGAGGATTAACAATCTACAAATCATACATCGTCAATCAAGTTTTTAACTTCTTCATAAATTAGCCTGCAAATTTTCTTGAGAACTTTGACAGAGCTTTACAAATAAATGAAATTGTCAATTCAGCAAATTTCATTCTGAAACATTTCTGAACTGCCCATAGGTTCACCCAGATATAAGCCTCTGCACCCCACCCACCCCACCCTGCACCCAAAACCCTTACAAAGTAGTTAGCACAGGCTTGTAACCACGATCATCCACATGTATCCAAACATCTGTGTTTTCAAGTCAATATTCATGTTTCAGGGACATGTCATTGCTATTTGTGGCTTAGAACATATCTCTTTGCAATTTTAAGCCTGCATTAAACAGCGAAATCTGTTATTGTACAATAGTTTAATAGTCTTTAAAGGTCGTTCCATTTTCTGGTTTTCAATCTTCCTTGAGCGATCCAGTTATTAATATATAACTGATCTTTCTTTGTTTCCTAATCCTCTTCGGATGAGCTTTCATCATCACCATCGGCAATATCTGGCATGGGAAAGCGCAAGATAGCTGCAACACCAGATAACTGACCAAGCTCTGTACACAAAAAAATGATACTATATTACTGTCAAAATAGAATTTTTTTACACTGAAGCACCTTCTTGTTTACATACGTTTTGGCGAAAGAATGAATTTCAACCACCCCTCAAATCTTTCTTGAAGAGCTCAAATCTTAATAAAACCTGTTTTCTGGGTTCTTTTCAACTCCCAGTTCACTCTCACCTATCAAATGTAATAACCAATGATGAAATTGTGTTTTGCATTCATCTCAATTAAAATAGTGGCTTTCAGTCTTGAACTAAAATTACCCAAACGAATGAGTTCTTCAAGGTTTCGTGGCCTGAATGTTATCTTCTTGAATATCCTTCAGTGAAATCTTCCAAAAGATTCACAGTACATCGCAACCGGCCAGAGGAGAATTTTAAATGTGAAAAAAGTAGGGGTATCTTGGCAGTTTCTTCGTTTTGTGCAAATGTCTTTTCTCTGTGCACAACGACCGGTCAGATAGATATTCCTGCAAAAAAGGCTACGAAGTAAAGTAGAGTAGTCAACTAATCTTATAAAATCATACGGGGTTTCACGGAAGGAAACATAAGAAAATTATAACAACCCGTTTGTTTTCCTTTTGAGCGCACGCAGACTACTAAAGCTTTCGTTCCCAGTGCGCGTCCGGGCGCAATCTACTTTTTAGAGATTGATTGAACTGTAAAATTCTGATAGTAAGCACATTTTCTTAAACTAGACTAAAAAAAGTGTGTACATACGTTCCCCAGAAACATGCAGGCTTGAAAACACCCTGAATAACAAGAAGAAAAGGGCATATAAGTCATATCAACTAATCCTAAGAACAGAGAGAACACAGAAAGCTCATTTAATAGGCATTTTCATGTTAACCTGACATCACCACCATTATCTTTGACATTTTCAACAAGTTTGACATATCTCTTACGAGTTGGCAAATCTGTTGACCTGAAAGAACAACCAACCACATTTATTAACATCTTATATCAATTATTTATTGAATTTCTCCATTTCTATTGATCCAGAGCCTTTTTCTTTGCGACGACGGACTGTTAAATGATTAAAGAAACATTTTCTGCTTGGTTTCCCTAGTGGTTTAAATTTCGAAATACAGACTGCTAAGATGAACTGGTAATAAGTCATTTTGCCAAAGCTTGGTTGCATAGGTATTAAAATATTTTTCCGTAGTTAAATGACATCCTACCAAATTATTGCTCAATGACACATGTAATTTCTGCCAGTGCTTTATTGATCCAGAGTTTGTAATTCACAAGCGCACCAGAATTACAACAGAGCCACGAGAAGTCAATCCAAATGAATATTGACCAATGAAAATCAGTTGTTATCGATGGAAATTCAGTGGCAACAGCTTAAATCAATCATGTTCCGGCAGTCATGGCATTCCTCTGTCCTTGATTAGTTGTCAATTGGCATTCATTGACAACAATTCTCACTGACTGGCTATACTGGTTAGACTGGATATACTGGTTATACTCGTTTTTTTCCATGTGTATCGTATTTACTTATAAGGAGGCTTGTAATTGGGCTTGATACAGGATGTCACTCAATACTATGGAGACCAGAGTAAGCTCCATGTGTATGGGCCAGTTGGGCTGATACAGACTTAAAAACTCTTTTAAAAGATTATATGACATTTTGTTTAACAAGACCATGTGATATGTTTTCAAGGTAAATGTCCTAACCTGAAAAGTTCATCTGTCACAAGAAGAGTTTCAACAGCCATTGCTTCATTTGCCCTCTCGATATGTGCCATACTAAAGGTACAACAACACTGACTCCAACACAACAGTAATATTAGATGATTACACAATGCACTTGGAAATAAAAACAATTTTAAAAAAACGAAATTGCCAGTCATCATTTTTTATTTTTTAGAATTACTGTACAGTACTGTTTCTGGCTTGTGACATTGCCAGCATATAGGTACGAATGGAAATTGTAAATTATTATGACAAATGACATTTAGCCAAAGTAAGTTAAATTCAAGGTGTCATTATTAATGCCGTAACACTACAAACTTGTAGATGTAGATTTCTCCTTCACTAACATGGCAAGGAGGAAAGAACTGTAAGAGAGAAGTTCAGGATCAGCTTGGCAAAACCGCCACCCTATGTTGCTTTGTGACTTTATTTATACCTTAACAGCATTACTTATCTAACTTGCACTTCATCAAGTTAGCAATATCATCTAGCCTTAGAATGCAGAATGCAATATAATTCTACAGTATGATCTAGTGAACAAACCCATAATAAGCTCTCTCAGGCTCTGTTTGCAGCATTGTGAAAAAATTATCCAATGCTTTAACTTCAGCAGCCGCCTGTGATAGTTAAAAAATCGTAGTCGGTGGAGATTTTGGAATATAATAACTATTTTAATTCTCTGCCACCCCGACCCCTGCTTATAGCTTGTTGACCTGGTATATCACCTATAAGGGGCTATTCTTCAACAACTCTTAGATCTGGATTAGCAGCCCCTTTGCAGGCATTACTAAGAGGGTTAAGAAGTCTAGAATCTAGAGTCATGGATGCCACCTGACCATTATATTGTGCAGGGGTTTGGTTGGTAAAGAGCAGCTCTCTGAAAAGATCTGAAATGAGCATGGAAGTGACAGGTGGAGAGACAAAGAAAGTGAACATTTTACAGCTACTGTATGTGACCATTTTAGTGTTTGCTAAATCAATACACAAATAACACCCTCTCATCAAGTGAAGATGTACTTTGATTTAATTCCCCACCCTACCCTTGCTTTTCCCCATTTAAACCATAGTTAGTAACTATGTTTAAACAGAGTTACATGCAATGACATACCCAGGTAATTTGTCTGTAGACCTGACAAAGCGAAAAAATCAATTTAGGACTAGTCAATGAAATTTACAAAAAAGGGGCTATTTACCTTTGTGTCTGCAAGCTTTGCAGTAACAGCTGGGTTGGCAAGAACTTCTGCACATCATGTTAAACAATGAACAAAAAAAACACACTGGTTACTGAAAAGAAGAGAACTAACTCAAAGCTTTCAATTCTTTTTGTAATTTCATGTTGGAAAAAAACCCAGGAGTTTTCTTCTGAGCATAATCTCAAGAAAGGTAATGAAGTTACCATAAGAGGCAAAAAGAAAGTCTTTTGATCTACCTTGCAAAGAGTTACTAACTTTACTACAAATGGCCTGCTCTCATCTGGCCTTACAGCTTGGTTTGAAGAGCAGTAAGGAGGTCATACCTTGGGAGTCCCACCAACATGAAAAAAAACCCTCTCTTTTGCTTTTTTATGTTCCTCTGTTTCCTTCCCTGGCTTATGCTCAGAAGGACATTCAGGAGGAGGTGGAGGGTTCAAATCCCATTGAGGTCAAAAGAATATTTCTCTTCCTTAGGTGCTCCACTAACACTTAGAGGGATATTCATATTACCTCAAAGTTTACTCTCTTACTCTATCAGTGTTGTATAACCCAACACTGTGTTTGTAATTGTACCTTCATACAAAATGGTTAGGCTGGTAGCCACTACCTAAACCAGTGCCAGCCTTGTTCCTTGGTATTCTTGTTCGTTTTAGTGACACCACTGTTAATGATAGAGCCCACCCTACTGGAAAATTGTAGGCACCAGGCTGTGGCAGTGCTTGATCAGATGTATATACCTACCTTTCAGGGAATGTTTGTGGCCTGAAGAAGAATGAGCCTAACAAAACAAAACAAAAACTGTTGGTATTTTTACTGTTTAGAATTATTTTTATTTATTATTTAACGAAGTCTTTTGACACATACAGTACCTATTTCTATCTCTATATTACCATCAGTTCACTTGGTATCACAAGAACTAGAATTCATACAATCATTTTTCCACTACAATTTGGACACTACTATAATAGAGCCACTCAACTCTGGCTCTCTGCCTTATTAAAGAGTTTCATCACTGTAGTGGCAGTTTACTCTCCTTACTCTTTCTTATTTCTTTGTCACAACAAATCTCCTTACCTTATTCATTTTAAAGGCTTGTTTACAAGGACAGAGGGTTACCCCAGCAAGTGGGTTACCCTAGCAAGCAGGCTACCCTAGTACTCACACATTTCCTCTTTTTTTTCTCTGTCATGTTTACAAGGCAGCCAGGGTTACCCAGGTAGGTGGGTCACCCTATCTGCATGCTAGGGTTACCCCAGCAGGCAGGTTAACTTTTTCCCTTGTAAACACTCCAGGTAGGGTTAACCTGCCTACGCAGGTTAACTTTCTAATTGTTTCCAGATGCTTTGAGTGTAACCACGCATCAAGTTGTCCCGGGTTGTAGGGTTACCTTACCTGTGAAACTCCAGGCTATCTTTTGCCCTCCAGCTAGGGTTAACCCGCTAGCTAGGGTAATCCTCCCTTGTAAACAGGCCCTAAAAATAGTGCATAAATGTGCATACATACTTACCAAAAGAAATTTTGATTTGTTCTCTGGGATCGACTTCCAGTCATTCTTTACAGCTTGCTGGAACATGTAGTCACAAAATTGATCCTGGAGTCCAATCAAAAGTAATAATAAATACCTACATTTTAGTGATGCACACTTTGCTTTAGGTTAACTTACATAGCATTCACCATTCTAGGACCTAAACACTGTAAAAATCTGATACTACATAAGGAGTAAACAGCATGGTAATAAAATGTGTTTAATCACCATACTCTTACTGTCCGTAGAGAAGTTGAAATAAAAACCAGATCCAGTAATTTACATTAATTAACACAGAAATTGAGAAACTTGAAATTCTATAACTGACCTTTACAAAACCAGGACTAGCAACAAGAATGCACTTGAGGACTACAGAGTGAAACAGGAAGTAAATGTACTCATTAAACTTGGTGTCAGACAGACACTTATAAAAACAAAGTAATTATATCATGTTACCAGTATTGATCAAACTTTATTTAACTTACAACCCACATGAATTGCAGGTTTTCATTTTATTTTGCATGAATCTGTAGATTTTAAGAAAAACTTCATTAAATCTACTGGTTCCCACTTTTCCCTGGAACACTTTCACATTGGTTTGTTTAAATGTCTTGTGATGGTTAAAGATACAAGCAAACAGTAATTAAGGAAGGAAAAAAACATCTTGCGACATTTTACAAAAGAGTTGCAACTTTGCATAACTGCGATGATCAATCATGTCTTCATATCTTTCTCCACAGTTCAAATATATATTATGCAGCCCACTGCTGGTGAAGAATACAAGTGAACATATGAAAGATCATATATTTGAACTGTGGAGAAAGATATGAAGACATGCTTGATCATCGCAGTTATGCACACAACTTAAGCAGTTGTGAAATTGAAGCCTGAAAAAAACATTCAGGCCTGAACGGGATTCGATTCACCATCTACGGATATATTATGAACTCGCAAAGTGACCAGCTCCCAGATGGCTTGATAGCTCAGTTGGTAGAGCACTGCACCAGTATTGCAGAGGTCATGGGTTTGAATTCCATTCGGGCCTGAATTTTTTTTCAGGCTTTAATTTCACAACTGCTTTAGTTGTGTGCATAACTGTGATGATCAATCATGTCTTCATATCTTTCTCCACAGTTCAAATATATGATCTTTCATATGTTCACTTGTATTCTTCACCAGC